ATGACTAATGTCAAATTGACTTGATTATGATTTGGAAGTCAATAATTTATTTGTCGAAATCTGTGCATATTGATGGTTCTAGTTTTATCATAAAAGTATATGGCATGAGTCTTGAGTATCAAAACAAAATAATAGTGAATATTTTCAATAAAATTTTGCCCAGAGGTAGACACTTACATCACTAGTTTTTTTTTGACACCTTTTGGTCTAAACCATCAGTTATGAATATTTGATCTAAAATGATCTATAGACCCTAAGTAAATCCCTGAAGGATATTTGGTGTATGCGGATCTCATTGTCAATTATGATGGCCATATTATTGCCCACATTATTTACGACATTTTTTTTTTATATACATTGGCTATTCATGTCAATTTTGAAATTTGTGAGAAGGCAATATTACTCTACTTGTTTCTCTAATTGTCATGAAACAATTATTTAAGATAGACAATATCATTTTTTTAATCAAAGTTCTAAATCTTAATACAACTTTGTTCGGAAAGCAAATTAAGCAATTTTGGAGGAAATATTTTGTTGGGGACCTTCAAAATTGAAAACCAATATGTTGATCCACTACATATCACATACCCTAGTACATGATGCATTTCCCTATCTGCGTTCAATTTTTTTAGTATGCAACCCTTCTAGCTATATCCCATCATGAGAAATCAACGGTGATGTTGGTTGCATTATAAGATCTTTTCTCGGCATTAGGGGGAGATTTGAAATTTTCTAATTAATTAAATGCCGAGAAATTGATAAAAATCTTATGTACTAGCCTTATAGAACCAGAAGTTCAGACATTGAACAAATTATATGCTAGAAATCCCAAAGGAGTGACTAAGTCCATAGAAAATATCTTAAGAGTTGAAATCCCCAACTAGGACTAAACATCTCTACCATTATGCCAGAAGCATATATTGATTTAAGAATTTACAAAACTAGATCTAGTATAGAAATTTCGTCACTCCAGAAATATAGAAATTTTATCCTGAAGATATTCGTCTAGAAGGCGAAAACCCCCAGTAAAATTGTAGGTGCACCAAATAACTAAAATATTGGGGAAGCGGAACAACCAAATCCAAATACTCTTGGGAAATGCCATATATTTGGTTGATACAAAATTGCCATGTGTATAAAAGATATTTACAAAGCTGTTACAGTTGTCGACAACATATTTTGCCTCTATTGCTCATAAAATCTGGATCCAGAAATGAAAATAGTAGTATAACGCCTGCAGCGTGCTAACTGTTTTCATAGAAAATAGCAATTAAGGCATACAAATCAGAATTCGCTAATAAATTAAGGCGAGTGGAGGGTTTTCGCAGAGACCCAATATTAGTCATGGCTTTATATTCCGCTATTCAATAAAACTAGCAGTAAATAAATTAGATATGTAGCTAATAGTTATAGTTATCACATATTTATATGGGTAATTTGTTACTTATATTTAAAATTCTTGATGGATTTTCTCAAAATGTGATGAATGAAAATCACAAAATAAAAAGTATAAAAGTTAGTAAGTTACTAACTATGATTTTTCTTATAGTCAATAAATTGATTAAAAGTATTTTCTCCCCCATAACAAAGTATGAAAATATATTATCATAAACATGCCTAGTAATGTTATATGTGATTGGGAAACTCAAATATCGTTTCCTCTTGAAAATATCCTAAATATATCCTCTAGTTTATCCTAAAAATCCCTAATGGATTTATAATTCCCGAAATGAGGATTTATTTAAGTGCCATTATTTACTTTTTAGAGAGTTGCGAATGGGGTTATTATCCTCATATAGAAGGAATAATATGTACCATTATGTGCTCAATAAAGAGTTGATAAAGGACTTATTTATTATCTCAGTCAATATTTATGGTGTAAACATCAATGAAATATATAAAGAGTTTAATGATGTTAAGTTATGAGATAAGATAACGAATAGCAAATCAAGGTACAAATACTCGTATTGATGCCTTTTGGCATGAAGTCATCATACTTGTTACAGATAAAAACGTATATAGTTTTTCATGATATAAAATACCTTGATCCACATGAACTCCAGAAGAGTGATAAAATATTTGTTCAGAAGGTTTGCTCTAGTGACAAGTTAGCAAATGTATACCTACAAATATTCATAAGATTGATATGTGTAGCTAAAGAAAAATTATTATATTTAGGGGGAGCAACAAAATATAAACTATAAATAATTTTACTGGTCCAGATGATCATGAGAAAATATGATAAATTCTAATGACAATCCTGAAAATTGTACCATATCCCTTCTCTACACCCTTTAGAAACAATAATTTTACAGGCAATGTAGAATTTGAAAATTGTTATCTTCAGGGGGAGACATGAAGTACATTCACTCGAGTCAATCCCGTAGATTGGGTCTTAAAAAGACTAATAGTTGCACTTTTTGCAGCGTATATATTCAATTGAGTCAATCCTGTAGATTGGGTCTTAAAAGGACTAATAGTTATACTTTTTGCAGCATATACATACCATATACTCTTTTTCTCACTAGGTTTTTCCCAATGGGTTTTCTAGTGTGGTTTTTAACAAGGCATGAGTATGATATAGTAATGACAATGGGGAAAAGTTGCAAAATAATTGGTTAATAAATGAACAAACTCCAAAATCCTGAAGATTATGCAGATTATGCCCTGAAGGCTGCGCTTATGGTGTACTCTTTTTCCCTTAACTAAGTTTTTCCTACAGGGTTTTCTTAAGTTAAGGTTTTTAATGAGGCAACCAAATACAATATATGTTTTTACATATATCATGTACTCTTTTCTTCAACTAGATTTTTTCCCATGTGGTTTTCATAGTGAAGTTTTTAATGAGGCATGAACATATTTTCTATTGTACTCTCTTATTGTCTAGGTTTTTCCCACAGGGTTTTCCTAGCAAGTTTTTAATGAGGCAAGATCGTAACCAAATAATGTCCAAGGGGGAGTGTTATAAATATATTTTTATTGTGGCCATTATTAGTATTGATTATGTAACGGTTAAGTGATTAATGGCTGCATTATGTCTTCCGTTACATTTGTATATTATATATAGATGTGTTATGGTTGTATGGAAGAGATAGATGGTTGAATAAGAATTCCTTGTCTTGGCTCTCCTTGTCTATTGTTCTACATTCACTTCACTTTTATCTTTACATTGTAATCCAATCCTGCAATCACTGGTTAAGAGCTAAAGAACAACGGGCACAAACATTACAACATTTATAATAATTATAGGGGTGTTATTACAGATGATTGGCTTTGGCTTGTGGCAACAATTGAGTCATGCACAAGAGATGTTTGGTGTAGTGTAATGAAATCGGTTTGTTTCTCATGAACGTAATCATCGTGGCTATGTTTTAACTTTTAATCAGAGTTTGAAGACGCAATAATGACTATTCGAAGCAATATGTGGAACATAATAACTTATGGTTAAAAAAAGCTAAAAGTTCATTTATTAAGAATGTAAAGTTTCTATGAGACGCGGGGATAGCTAAGTTGGGAGAGCGTCAGACTGAAGATCTGAAGGTCACGTGTTCGATCCACGTTCATCGCAACTTAGTTTGTATGGTTTCAAAATGTAAACCATACAAACAATTATAAGTTAATAATTTGCAATAGATGATTTTCAACAGATGATCCGTGGAAGTGTTCTGTTGTTGTCCGTGGATGTATTTGTTTAGACGTCTCGGGTTTGCTTCCCAAGTCATGTTGCCAATATAATAAACCAAACATTGCTTAAATAAATTTTCCTTTATTTCTTTCTTTATAAATAAAATCAATCTATAAAAGTAATATCGTTAAAAATATCTCATAGAGATATTTTAAATTCACTCATATTGATATATTTTTTCAATATATTCTTACAATAAACGTGTGATATAGTAATATTATAGATGACCTATGTTGACTTACTGTACCAACAATAGTGGGTTAATGAGTGTGCGTTGGTAATTTAATGAACTTGTAATAATGTTTCGGACGAGCATATATGACTTAATGAACTTGTAGTGGTGACTTTTTTCTTCTTTTTTTTTTTTTTTCAAAGGACTTGCTGTAGTGACTTAATCAACTTGCAATTGTAATTTAACGAACATGCAATAATGTCTAGATAAACTTGTAAATTTACTTAATGGAATTTAAATAATAGTAACATAAAGAACCTACAATTAGGGGTGGGAATTTCGATTGACAGTTCGGGTCCTTTTTTTCCTTGGTTTGATTTATATTTTTTCAGTTTTGAAAAGACGAAACCATTCTATTTAACATTGTAGTTTAGTTTGGTTCGGTCGATTTGAGAACATTAACATTCTCTAGTTCTTTAGCGCAATTAATTAATTAATTAATTTTTAATAATTTAACATTTAAAATCCAATCAACACGAAAACGATGCATATCTCAGATTTCTCAATCAATAATGAGTCCGAACAACAACACAACACTACATATTTAAAAATCTAATGTCCAAACATAACACAAAACATAATTCAAATTACATGATACCGATCTAAGTGTATAATAGAAATATAAAATCGTGATTTAGAAAATTGAGAATTTAGTAATTAGTAATTAGTATATATACTCGGGTAATTTTCCAAATATAAAAACATTTAGTTATAGTTTTTTTTTTTTTTTGAAAGGAAAGGATATCATTAAAATCAAGAGATTAAGTGTTCAATACAAGAAGGAATAGTAGAAAACCAATTAAAATGATCAGTATGAGAACTAGCCGCTCTAGCCAACACATGAGCAAGCTTATTCACTGATGGATTAACATAATGAATAGACACTGATTCAAAGTGCCTTTTTAGAGACCGGCAATACTTGAGAACGCAACCTGTATAAGAATAGTCCGGTGAATCATTTTCGAAAAACTTACACACCATCTGACAATCTGATTTGAGCACAATGTTGCGCCAGCCATGTTCAAGAGTCCAGGAAAGAGCTTCTTTAACGGCAAAGGCCTCCGCAAGATGGGGATCATTGAGTCAACGAATTGGACCGCTCCTCGCAGCAACAAAACCACCATTGCTATTTCGACATACAATGCCATAAAACCCATCGGTGCCACCTTGCGGGAGAGCAGCATCAACTTCAACCACCAATGTCGAAGGAGGGATGTTTTCTGCCACATGTGAAGATTCATGCACATTCCGAGTTTGGGTGTTGTGGATATGTCCCAATCCATGTGATCCTGTAGTTAATTGGGTTTGCCATTCAATAAAGCAGCTTGTAGCCATTCGAATAATTTCCTCTACTGGCCACATCTTTCTACTCCAAACCCATTCATTTCTTCTCTTCCAAATACACCAACAAGTGGCAATGCAACGCAACAATTTATTATGATCAGATTGCTTAAAAAGTTCCGAAAGCCAAGCTTCAAAACTCAAGTCAGCATGCAGATCCGTAGAATCCAAGATACCACCCCATGCACCAGTAACTTGAGAACATTCCAATAAAAGATGATTTAATGATTCTGGACATGCATGACAAATAGGACACAGAGTGTCAATATTCATACCTCTACTGGAAAGAGACACCAACGTAGGGAGAATACATCTTGCACAGCGCCAAATGAAATTAGCAAACTTGGGAGGAATTTTCAAACGCCATAACTCCTTCCAAGCCGTGAAAGGAGTATTAAGATTGTGATTATTTTCATTCAGCAAACGGTACCCTCCACGAACTGAGTAAACACCCCTTATGTCGCCACGCCAGCACCACATATCAGCATTCTCAAGTGAAACTGGAATAGATAGAATCAAATCTGCATCTCGTTGAATGAACATTTCTCTGACTTTATAATAATTATATATAGATATGAAGAAAGGAAATGTCATAGTTTTTATTCTTACAATAGACTTTATAATAATTATAGAGGTGTTATTAAAGATGATAGGCTTTGGCTTGTGGCAACAATTGAGTCATGCACAAGAGATGTTTGGTGTAGTGTAATGAAATCGGTTTGTTTCTCATGAACGTAATCATCGTGGCTATGTTTGAACTTTTAATCAGAGTTTGAAGACGCAATAATGACTATTCGAAGCAATATGTGGAACATAATAACTTATGGTTAAAAAAAGCTAAAAGTTCGTTTATTAAGAATGTGAAGTTTCAATGAGACGCGGGGATAGCTCAGTTGGGAGAGCGTCAAACTGAAGATTTGAAGGTCACGTGTTCGATCCACGTTCATCGCAACTTAGTTTGTATGGTTTCAAAATGTAAACCATACAATTATAAGTTAATAATTTGCAATAGATGATTTTCAACAGACGATCCAGGGAAGTGTTCCGTTGTCGTCCAGCGGTTAGGATATCTGGCTTTCACCCAGGAGACCTGGGTTCAATTCCCGACAACGCGGCAAAGTATGATTTAATGTATTTGTTTAGACGTCCCGGGTTTGCTTCCCAAGTCATGTTGCCAATATAATAAACCAAACATTGCTTAAATACAATTTCCTTTATTTCTTTCTTTATAAATAAAATCAATCTATAAAAGTAATATCGTTAAAAATATCTCATAGAGATATTTTAAATTCACTCTTATTGATATATTTTTTCAATATATTCTTACAATAAACTTGTGATAAAGTAATAATATAGATAACATATGATGACTTACTGTACCTGCAATAGTGGGTTAATGTGTATGCGTTGGTAATTTAATGAACTTGTAATAATGTTTCGAACGAGCATATATGACTTAATGAACTTGTAGTGGTGACTTTTTTCCTTTTTCTTAACAAAAGGACTTGATGTAGTGACTTAATCAACATGCAATTGTAATTTAACGAACATGCAATAATATCTAGATAAACTTGTAAATTTACTTAATGTAATTGTAATAATATTAACTAAAAGAAACTACAATTAGGGGTGGGAATTTCGATTGACAGTTCGGGTCCTTTTTTTCCTCGGTTTGATTTATATTTTTTCAGTTTTGAAAAGACGGAACCATTCTATTTATCATTGAAGTTTAGTTTGGTTCGGTCGATTTGAGAACATTAACATTCTCTAGTTCTTTAGCGCAATTAATTAATTAATTAATTTTTTATTAATTTAACATTTAAAATCCAATCAACACAAAAACGATGCATATCTCAAATTTCTCAATCAATAATGAGTCCGAACAACAACACAACACTACATATTTAAAAATCCAATGTCCAAACATAACACAAAACTTAATTCAAATTACATGATACCGATCTAAGTGTATAATAGAAATATAAAATAGGGATTTAGAAAATTGAGAATTTAGTAATTAGTAATTAGTATATATACTCGGGTAATTTTCCAAATATAAAAACATTTAGTTATAGTTAGATACATAGATATGAAGAAAGGAAATGTCATAGTGTTTTATGCTTACATTAGACTTTATAATAATTATAGAGGTGTTATTAAAGATGATTGGCTTTGGCTTGTGGCAACAATTGAATCATGCACAAGAGATGTTTGGTGTAGTGTAATGAAATCGGTTTGTTTCTCATGAACGAAATCATCGTGGCTATGTTTTAACTTTTAATCAGATTTGAAACGCAATAATGACTATTCGAAGCAATATGCGGAACATAATAACTTATGTTTAAAAAAAAAAAGCTAAAAAAGTTCGTTTATTAAGAATGTAAAGTTCTTATGAGATGCGGGGATAGCTTAGTTGGGAGAGCATCAGACTGAAGATCTGAAGGTCACGTGTTAGATCCACGTTCACCGCAACTTAGTCTGTATGGTTTCAAAATGTAAATCATACAATTATAAGTTAATAATTTGCAATAGATGATTTTCAACAGACGATCCGGGGAAGTGTTCCGTTGTCGTCCAGCGGTTAGGATATCTGGCTTTCACCCAGGAGACCCGGGTTCAATTCCCGGTAACGCAAGATTTCATATCTATCAATTTAGAGAAGATTTGTAGTGCAAAGTATGGTTTAATGTATTTGTTTAGACGTCCCGGGTTTGCTTCCCAAGTCATGTTGCCAATATAATAAATCAAACATTGCTTAAATACAATTTCCTTTATTTCTTTCATTATAAATAAAATCAATCTATATAAAAGTAATATCGTTAAAAATATCTCATAGAGATATTTTAAATTCACTCATATTGATATATTTTTTCAATATATTCTTACAATTAACGTGTGATATAGTAATAATATAGATAACCTATGATGACTTATTGTACCTGCAATAGTGGGTTAATGAGTATGCGTTGGTAATTTAATGAACTTGTAATAATGTTTCGGACGAGCATATATGACTTAATGAACTTGTAGTGGTGACTTTTTTCCTTTTTCTTAACAAAAGGACTTGATGTAGTGACTTAATCAACATGCAATTGTAATTTAACGAACATGCAATAATATCTAGATAAACTTGTAAATTTACTTAATGTAATTGTAATAATATTAACTAAAAGAAACTACAATTAGGGGTGGGAATTTCGATTGACAGTTCGGGTCCTTTTTTTCCTCGGTTTGATTTATATTTTTTCAGTTTTGAAAAGACGGAACCATTCTATTTATCATTGAAGTTTAGTTTGGTTCGGTCGATTTGAGAACATTAACATTCTCTAGTTCTTTAGCGCAATTAATTAATTAATTAATTTTTTATTAATTTAACATTTAAAATACAATCAACACGAAAACGATGCATATCTCAAATTTCTCAATCAATAATGAGTCCGAACAACAACACAACACTACATATTTAAAAATCCAATGTCCAAACATAACACAAAACTTAATTCAAATTACATGATACCGATCTAAGTGTATAATAGAAATATAAAATAGGGATTTAGAAAATTGAGAATTTAGTAATTAGTAATTAGTATATATACTCGGGTAATTTTCCAAATATAAAAACATTTAGTTATAGTTAGATACATAGATATGAAGAAAGGAAATGTCATAGTTTTTTAAGCTTACATTAGACTTTATAATAATTATAGAGGTGTTATTAAAGATGATTGGCTTTGGCTTGTGGCAACAATTGAATCATGCGCAAGAGATGTTTTGTGTAGTGTAATGAAATCGGTTTGTTTATCATGAACGTAATCATCGTGGCTATGTTTTAACTTTTAATCAGAGTTTGAAACGCAATAATGACTATTCGAAGCAATATGCGGAACATAATAACTTATGTTTAAAAAAAAAAAGCTAAAAAAGTTCGTTTATTAAGAATGTAAAGTTCCTATGAGATGCGGGGATAGCTCAGTTGGGAGAGCGTCAGACTGAAGATCTGAAGGTCACATGTTCGATCCATGTTCACCGCAACTTAGTCTGTATGGTTTCAAAATGTAAACCATACAATTATAAGTTAATAATTTGCAATAGATGATTTTCAACAGACGATCCGGGGAAGTGTTCCGTTGTCGTCCAGCCGGTTCGGATATCTGGCTTTCACCCAGGAGACTCGGGTTCAATTCCCGGCAACGAAAGATTTCATATCTATCAATTTAGAGAAGATTTGTAGTGCAAAGTATGGTTTAATGTATTTGTTTTAGACGTCCCGGGTTTGCTTCCCAAGTCATGTTGCCAATATAATAAACCAAACATTGCTTAAATACATTTTCCTTTATTTCTTTCTTAATAAATAAAATCAATCTATAAAAGTAATATCGTTAAAAATATCTCATAGAGATATTTTAAATTCACTCATATTGATATATTTTTTCAATATATTCTTACAATAAATGTGTGATATAGTAATAATATAGATGACCTATGATGACTTACTGTACCAACAATAGTGGGTTAATGAGTATGCGTTGGTAATTTAATGAACTTGTAATAATGTTTCGGACGAGCATATATGACAAGATTTATCAAGACACAAGCATAGAATTGTATATCAGAATGAGCCAAAGAAGAAGATTATAGCAAGGAAAATAGATTTGTTGAGACATAGGTTATCTCTTAGCCTTAATTAGAATCCTTGGCTATAATGGTTCTTTCTCTAAGATTTCCTCTTCTTGATTTCTCCTATGGGAATTCTTGGGAATTCTTGTGTGGTGAAAGCTATTGTGGTGTGAATTCGAGGTGTCTCCTATGTCCTTATATATATCTAAGAGTCCTAATTAGGGTTTGAATGGTATGGGTTTACTAATTCTATTTCTTATAGGACTAAGGGTTTGGTTTAGGATAAGGGTCCATGGTTTATGGTGGACCTTTCGTAATTAATTAAGGGAATTTAATTTTCTTTTAAGGGTAAGTAATTAAATAATTACTTTGGGTTTAGAGGCCGTAACACGGGGTGTTAAAGCCCACATTTCCAAACATTCGGAGTCTAAGCTCGAAACAAAAGATAAGGCTCACAGGCCTAAGTGTCAATGCACTACAAAACGGGGAAGGTAGTCTATCTACTTAAGTCTAGCATTAAGAGAATTTGGAACTATAAGAAAACTAAACTAACTAGCTCTATCTAACGCGCTCAACAATCATTACTCCAAACCTGAAAGGGGTTATCAAGAAAACATATGAAAAGAACCCGTTTGCATGAATGCTAAATATAAACCACTCCATCCTGTAAAGTACATATAAGTATAGATTTGAAAAAATGATAGTTTGACCTTTATAGCACGTTAAGCCAATCAAGTTTGACAAATATGTTTACACAAAAAAAAAAAAAAAAAAAAAAAAATATATATATATATATATATATATATATATATATATATATATATATATATATAATAACGACACTTATGCATATGCATAAAGCTCACATGCCAATATGATTCATATTCCAACACTTATGCATTTCATGCTCAAGTATACATGCTTAC